CGTTTCTAGTTGTCTTGATCACAACTTTAATTTGAGTAAAACAGTGCAAATAAGGCATGGACCTCACTTAAAAAAAGCGTATGCTCTTTTTCATCAACTCGTTTTTTTTTGGGGTCTTTGATTTGAATTCTTAAGCGTTTCTAGTTGTCTTGATCACAACTTTAATTTGAGTAAAACAGTGCAAATAAGGCATGGACCTCACTTAAAAAAGCGTATGCTCTTTGTAAACATCATCAACTCGTTTTTTTTTGGGGGGTCTTTGATTTGAATTCTTAAGCGTTTCTAGTTGTCTTGATCACAACTTTAATTTGAGTAAAACAGTGCAAATAAGGCATGGACCTCACTTAAAAAGCGGCAAACATCATCAACAACGTTTTTTTTTTTGGGGGGTCTTTGATTTGAATTCTTAAAAGCGTTTTCTAGTTGTCTTGATCACAACTTTAATTTGAGTAAAACATCAAATCATGGACCTCACTTAAAAAAGCGTATGCTTTTGTAAACATCATCAACTCGTTTTTTTGGGGGGGTCTTTGATTTGAATTCTTAAGCGTTTCTAGTTGTCTTGATCACAACTTTAATTTGAGTAAAACAGTGCAAATAAGGCATGGACCTCACTTAAAAAGCGTATGCTCTTTGTAAACATCATCAACTTTCGTTTTTTGGGGGGTTCTTTGATTTGAATTCTTAAAAAAGGTTTCTTTGTCTTGATCACCTTTAATTTGAGTAAAACAATTTAAGGCATGGACCTCACTTAAAAAGTATGCTTGTAAACATCATCAACTTTTGATTTGAATTCTTAAAGCGTTTCTAATCACAACTTTAATTTGAGTAAAACAGTGCAAATAAGGCATGGACCTCACTTAAAAAGCGTATGCTCTTTTAAAACATCATCAACTCGTTTTTTTTTTTTTTTTTTTGGGGGGGTCTTTGATTTGAATTCTTAAACATCATCAACTACCGCGGGGGTTTCTAGTTGTCTTGATCACAACTTTAATTTGAGTAAAACAGTGCAAAATAAGGCATGGACCTCACTTAAAAAAGCGTATGCTCTTTGTAAACATCATCAACTTCGTTTTTTTTTTTTTTTTGGGGGGATTCTTTGATTTGAATTCAAGCATGGACTTGATTTGAATTCTAGCGTTTCTAGTTGTCTTGATCACAACTTTAATTTGAGTAAAACAGTTGCAAATAAGGCATGGACCTCACTTAAAAAGCGTCTAGTTGTCTTGATCACAACTTTAATTTGAGTAAAACAGTGCAAATAAGGCATGGACCTCACTTAAAAAAGCGTATGCTTTTTAAACATCATCAACTTTCGGGTCTTTGATTTGAATTCTTAAAAGCGTTTCTAGTTGTCTTGATCACAACTTTAATTTGAGTAAAACAGTGCAAATAAGGCATGGACCTCACTTAAAAAAGCGTATGCTCTTTGTAAACATCATCAACTCGTTTTTTTTTTTTTTTTAGGGGGTCTTTGATTTGAATTCTTAAGCGTTTCTAGTTGTCTTGATCACAACTTTAATTTGAGTAAAACAGTGCAAATAAGGCATGGACCTCACTTAAAAAAGCGTATGCTCTTTGTAAACATCATCAACCTCGTTTTTTTTTTTGGGGGTTCTTTGATTTGAATTCTTGGACCTCACTTAAAAAGCGTAAAACAATGCAAACATCTAGTTTCTTTGATTTGAATTCACTGTTTTTTATTTAAATTAGCAGTGTGACCAAGACTAGCAACTGCTAGTCAAAATATTTCCATGAAATCATTCGTTCGAACTACAAGTTTTTCTTTTAATTATGCAACTACTAACAGACACAAGCATCCTAACTTTGAGGAATTAAGAAGTCTGAAGACATTACATTTAAATTTTTGAAGGTCAAAGTTAACTGGAACACAAAAAAATCAAATGAGCATTCCACCAGAGAAAAGTGCGAGAAAAGAAAACTGTTATCATAGAATTTATGGTTGGAACTTAACCATTTCAAGCGTAAAATGATGAGTCCTTACTTCCAATATAATACTTTGTTTAAATTCATGAAGTCTAGACAAAAGTTTACTGGAACAATTACCATGAAAATATTTATAGAAAAGACACAAGAAGCTACATTACTGTGGTGAGAAACCAAGATGTCAGGACTAATAACTTTCTTTTTTGCATTATTCTATTTGGGAAAATAAATGACAAAGTGGAAAAAATTCTTTCATCATTTAGAAGGACTTCATTAGAGTAAAGTAATATTTTTGTTGATGGAATTATATATGCGTAGGAGGGGAACCTCAACAAAGATTCTTTTGAGCCATTGTAAAGGTGGTATTAATGTATGGTGCCTGGTCAGTAACTAAAACCCTACAGTCTAAGCTTGATGGAACCTACACTTGGATGCTGAAAGCTATACTTAGCATCTCTTGAAGACAATATCTAACCAAATAACAGCTCTGTGGACCCATGCCAGATATATCTACAAAATCTTACGCAATTGTAAGGAGGAAGTTCTTCACTGTACCATCACTGACAAGTAGTTGGCAACATTTCCCAGCTGGAGACAAAATTGTCCTGATACAGACCCCACTGCATTGTGACATTTATTATTACAAGAAAACCTTGTGGAAAGATGGCTTTTCATTTTCAGTGGGAAATCAAAATTCTGAGGTATTGGCCTGCAGACAGCAAATGCTACCCCCACCCCCTGCAAAACTGTTGTGTATGATACACCTAATTTACATAAGCGGACTACCGACCATATAAATATGGGTTGGTACCGGAAGACGGGGAAGATAGTAGAGATTAAGAAATTGAATCCAGAGACTCTGCCCGACTGCGATTTAGTCAACCCATTATGCAGGAACAGTCTTCCCAAGAATATACCAAACTAACTGTAAATATTGTGTACCTATTCTTTGTTTCAATACATTTTGTTAACGTACATTTTGTGTTGTATTATTCCATGCTTATTTAAGCTTCAACAAAAACAATGACTGTACATTTTTGAAAATTGATTACTGTTAAAATGGTTATGCTGAATGAGGTGTGTGATAAGAATGAAAGAGGAGGTGGTAGGAAGTGAAGATTATGAGGATAAGAAGGATAGATAACAATTGACACTTGACTCTAAGAGGTTACTAAGATTTTAGTGTTGACAGTTACTGTTAAAATGGTTGTGATGAATGAGGTGTGTGATAGGAATGAAAGAGGAGGTGGTAGGAAGTGAAGATTATGAGGATAAGGAGGATAGATAACGATTTACCCTTGACTTGAAGAGGTTAATAAGATTTTAGTGTTGACGGTTACTGTTAAAATGGTTATGATGAATGTGGTGTGTGATAGGAATGAAAGAGGAGATGGTAGGAAGTGAAGATTATGAGGATAAGGAGGATAGATAGCGATTGACCTTTGACTTGAAGAGGTTAATAAGATTTTAGTGTTGACGTTTACTGTTAAAATGGTTATGATGAATGAGGTGTGTGATAGGTATGAAAGAGGAGGTGGTAGGAAGTGAAGATTATGAGGATATGAAGGATAGATAATGTTTTATTTTCCACTGAATCAATAAATTTTAAACAAAAAGTATGTTAATAGCAAAGTCGCACAATGTTTAAAAAAATAAAATATCTACATACTAATTACCGTCAATATCTCGTTCATTTGACAAATGATTTGCGTTCAGTTAAAAAAAGACTATATTAGTTACATTTTAAATTAAATCAATGTAGTTGTTTATTTAGTATCAACTGACAATAAATTCCTTTTATCATGTCATAACTATTATGGGTTAATTTCTTACAATGTATCTCTTTTCACAAGAAACTTCATTTGCATCCCTAAGAATCACAGATGAGAATGTCACAGCATTCTTTAAGATTTTTATGTCACGGATGCAAGATGCACACCCATTAGCATCTCTGGTCATGTAAATAATTATAACTCCTCATTCTCAAAACTCAGACTGAAATAAATTTTTGTTATATTTCATCAGCTGTTCCCTATAACAAGGTAACTTGTTATTGGTAGATATCGTAGTTTTTAGATTTCAAGGCGACAATGTGGAATGGATTGTTGTGTGTTTTTTCTCAACCTTATTAATTTTCCCAGGCAGGAATATTTGTCAAGAGGCCAGGTGTGGCCTCAAATTGGACAAGTCAGAGCATGTGTTTTTTATTATATTTCTGATTTCAGCCAAATATGTTTTAGTTTTGTAGCAATAGCTCTGAATGAAATGGGGTAAAATCAAAACATAGGATTTGGTCTTTTAACCCCAACTTTAAACAATGGAAAATTGAGTTATTTTGGCATGTGCACTGTTTTATATGTGGGTGGAGAATTATGTATAAAATCAGCTTGATTTTGAGGATACACAAGAGATGAGATGACAGAGGCAGGCGAATCATCAGACACACACCCAGTTGCACACCCACATGAGGAAGGGGCCCAATACTTACTTGAATTTCTGATTGAACCTTGCTGAACACATAGATCAAGTTTCCAAGTCACTACCTTCTGATCTTTTGTGTCAATAGATGACAAATGTATCTAATTGTAAATTATTTTATTCATCTTCATTAAATTTAACCAATACCGACATTATTATTTCTTTGGTGAGAGCTTGACTTTATTTCCAGCCAGCCCAGTTGTCAACAAAAAGTTTACAATGACTTATTAACTAAAAAGAAGAAATACAATTTTCTTTGTCCATAATAATCATAACACTTCAAGAACCAAGACTGGACGATCAACGACTTATACTGGCACCAACCCCAAGACACTAGTTTGGAAGTTGTATAACTTTACTTATCTCATAGCTGTATGAAGACTGAGATATCAGAATGAGCAGGATCTAAACTGAGCGGCTGTATGTCGACCAGAAAGCGTGACTAGACCAACAGGACCTAGGAGACGTGTACGAGAAGAGAGGGGGTTATATCCATGCCAAATGAATATTTCTTCAGCCCTTTTCAAATTGTTAAAAATGAATTGTTTTATTTTTTTTTTTTTTTTTTTTTGCAGTCTCTGTTTAATGGGTGACCCCGTGGAATTGAATCCTCATGAAAGGACAGAACTTCGACGACGCACTTTTTCATTAGTATACTATTTACTAAGATCACCTTTCTATGACCGATTTTCACAGTAAGTATCTGACCTATTTTCCTTCTGATAAGAAGGTAATAAAAATAAATAAATAAATATATACCATAAGTTCTGTCCGAATTTTAACTTTTTGTTAAAATGAACAAAATTTAAAGAGTATTTTATAATGTCTAATGGAGCTGAACATTATTTTTATGTTTAGATGCATTTAAACTGATCAAATTTTATTTCAGGGAACAATAAAATGAAATTTTGTTTGATTTAAACCCTGCTAACATGGAAGTACGCAAGAATCATTTGAGGCACATAATGCTTTATGAGTTCAAGAAAGGAAACTCAGCAGCCGAAGCGGCTAGAAATATTCACTCAGTTTATGGAGAGGAATGTGTGAATGAAAGAACTTGCAGAAGATGGTTTGCAAAATTCAGAGGTGAAGATTTCACCCTTGAAGATGAAGATCGAACCGGACGTCCAGTTGAGTTTGATGAAAAGCTTCTTGAAGCAGCCCTTGAAGAAAATCCTGTTTTATCAGTTGAGGAATTGACAGTGGTTCTCAGTTCAAACCATACAACTGTTCATCGTCATCTTCAACAACTTGGAAAAGTTCCTAAACTTGGAAAATGGGTGCCTGATGAATTGTCTGAAAACAACCTCAAATCCCGAGTTGACATCTGCTCTTCTCTCTATTCTCGCCAACTTGTTTCACCTTTTTTGGATAGACTTGTGACTGGTGACAAAAAATGGATCTTTTATCGAAATGTTAAGCATCGTAGACAGTGGCTTGGTAAAGGGGAAGGATCCCAGCCACAGCCGAGAAGGGAACTTCATGGGAAAAAGGTTCTTTCAATCTGGTGGGATCGCCAAGGAATAATCCACTTTGAATTCTTACCACCTAATGCAACAATTAATGCTCAAATATACTGTCAGCAATTAGAGCATTTGAACCAAGCTTTGAGGAAAAAAAAGACCTGCTCTAGTGAATCGAAAAGAGGTGATGTTTCATAAGGAAAATGCGCGACCCGACACAGCAAGAATCACGTCACAAAATATCGAAGAACTTAGCTGGGAGAAAATTCCTTATCCACCTTATTCTCCCGATCTTGCTCCTTCAGACTACCATTTGTTTCGTAGCTTACAGAATCATTTGGAAGAAACAGCTTTTATAATACAGGAAGAGGTTAAAACTGACATTTGTGAGTTCTTCGAATCAAAGCCAAAAGAATTTTACAGTAATGGAATTAGTAAGCTTGTTAATAGATGGAAGGAAGTCATAGATAATCAGGGAAAATACATTGTTGATTGAATCTGTAATTAAATGTAACATTTGGTCATTTGTTTTCTTTATTCAAAATTCGGACAGAACTTATGGGATGACCTGATAGATGGAAGGAAGTCATAGATAATCAGGGAAAATACATTGTTGATTGAATCTGTAATTAAATGTAACATTTAGTCACTTGTTTTCTTTATTCAAAATTTGGACAGAACTTATGGGATGACCTGATAGATGGAAGGAAGTCATAGATAATCAGGGAAAATACATTGTTGATTGAATCTGTAATTAAATGTAACATTTAGTCACTTGTTTTCTTTATTCAAAATTCGGACAGAACTTATGGGATGACCTGATAGATGGAAGGAAGTCATAGATAATCAGGGAAAATACATTGTTGATTGAATCTGTAATTAAATGTAACATTTGGTCACTTGTTTTCTTTATTCAAAATTTGGACAGAACTTATGGGATGACCTGATAGATGGAAGGAAGTCATAGATAATCAGGGAAAATACATTGTTGATTGAATCTGTAATTAAATGTAACATTTGGTCACTTGTTTTCTTTATTCAAAATTCGGACAGAACTTATGGGATGACCTGATAGATGGAAGGAAGTCATAGATAATCAGGGAAAATACATTGTTGATTGAATCTGTAATTAAATGTAACATTTGGTCATTTGTTTTCTTTATTCAAAATTCAGACAGAACTTATGGGATGACCTGATACATTTGTAATTTCTCGGTAAATTGTGCCTTTTTTTAATTTTCAAATGAGTTATCAATTTCAATACGTAATTTTTTTTTAATTGTCTATTATGGCTTATCAACTTTGTACAGGTTATATTTTATAAAAATATTTTTAGATTTTTAGAACTTTTAAGGAGAATCTTCTCCCCCACCTATGGATTAATTTGTAAGATTTGTATTGTTAAAACCATTATTATCTAAAAGAAAAACAAATTCTGTACAAAATAGATTTCAGCAGTAAATAATCCATATAGGTGTTGATATGCTGCTAAACAAAAAAAAAAAAATTTAAACATTTAAAGAATAAAAATGTAATTTATATGCTCTGTTAAAATAAATGCATTGAGCTCTTTTTGTGGATCAGTTTTGATATTTAATATTAGGAAGTAGGTTGTTCTACTTCCACGTGCCATGCCTCTTCTGGATGTCTCAGTTATCTCCCTTTAACTTAACTCTTCAGGTTTTTGTTCTGGTTTTTACACTATTTACTTGTGGACTATTATGCTCATCTTTGTTGTTGTTATCACAATGTTTCGGCTGTTGTACCCTCCAACCTTCATCAAGTGTATGTTGATCTGAATAACCTCCAGGCAATTCCACAGAGAATTTTCCCATAGCACAATAGCCTAGTAGATTAAAGTCCTGGTTCATGGATTTGGTGACATAGTAATTTTGAGTTCAATCGCTGGGCCAGGTGGTAAGTACTTAGTTACTTATTTTATTTAATCTATGGGGATAGACTGTTCTCATTCCACTGCCCATGTCTAGGGATATCTCGTCTAGTTCTTATTTTTAGTCCTGCTCAGTTATTGCTCGCCCTGTTTCCACTCTTGTCCAAGTACACACTGCCCGACCCAGGTATTGAACTCACAATTATTATGTCACCAATTCCAAAATGAAGCCTTTATTTAATCTACGTGGTTAGACTGTTCTCGTTCCACTGCCCATGTCTAGTGATATCTCGTCTAGTTCTTATTTTTAGTCCTGCTCAGTTATTGCTCTCCCTGTTTCCACTCTTGTCCAAGGACACACTGCCCGACCCAGGTATTGAACTCACAATTATTATGTCACCAATTCCGAACTGAACCCTTTATTTAATCTACGTGGTTAGACTGTTCTTATTACACTGCCCATGTCTAGGGATATCTCGTCTAGTTCTTATTTTTAGTCCTGCTCATTTATTGCTCGCCGTTTCCACTCTTGTCCAAGTACACACTGCCCGACCCAGGGATTGAACTCACAATTACTATGTACCCAATTCTGAACTGAACCCTTTGTACAATCTACACAGTTAGACTGTTCTCATTCCACAGCCTATGTCTAGGGATATCTCGTCTTGTTCTTATTTTTAGTCCTGCTCATTTATTACTCACTCTAAATAGGGTGAGTAATAGCTGAGCAATACTAAAGTACACATTGCCCAGCCCAGGGATTGAACTCACAAAATATCATCAAATTCATAAACTTAATCCACTAGACTCATCCATGGGACAATAGCAAAGTTCGATCAACATACACCTGATAAAGGCCAGAAGGTACAATGGACAAAACATTGTGATATCTACAACAAAGATGAGAAGAACAGTCCGCATGTAAATTGCCGTCCTGGGTAAGACAATAAACTATGTACAACAGCAAGGCCTCTCATCAGGAGGCTTTGAGGAGCGTGGAATCACCTCTTAATTGCTGGTGTTCCAAGGTCCACCCTGACTCGGGGTGGTAGCACCTGTTAGGGTCCCAGCTATGGGCTAATAGTTAACCCTGAAACTGAGGTAAAATGCATTATAATAGTGTAAAAATAGGTTTTAATACCAGAAATACTTTGTAAAAAATTATTATGAGAAATAAATTTTTGGAGAAAAAAACTATTACAAGCAATACTTTTTTGAAAAAAAAAAAAATATTACCAACAATACATTTTTTTAAAATAATATTACCAGCTATATGTTTTTGAGGAAAAAAAAATATTACCAGGAATAGATTTTTGACAAAACAAAAATATTACCAGGAAAAAAAGTTGTCGGCATTAAATGACCCATTAGCGTAGATATGCTGTAAAACAAACCAAACTGCATGTAGATTGTGTAAATATAATAATAATCTCCTCATCACAGATATTCAGACAGAAATCATTTTATTTCTTTAAATAAAACCTGAACAACCTGTTTGAGTTGGTATTCATTCAGATTTCCAACATTTGCTTTGTTTGTATTAAATCCCCTGATTTTATTTCTTTTTCTCCATTTCAGAGCCAAAATCGTATTTCTTTTGAAATTGTTATCTGATCAAGTTCCTGGGATGGGACATCTCCTCAGTGAGTATTTGTTTTCCTTATAAAGACTTATAATAATATTTGTTATGTTTTTCTAGTCTGTCATAATGGGGGGATTTTGTTTGTTTAACCCTACATAAGTCACTTTGGATTGCCTTCCACAATATCTGAGCTACAACTATGCCACACCACCTGCTACACACTCTCAGAGCTTATGGCCGCATCACATTGAAACACCGGTTCGCATATGATCACTGAAGTTAAGCAATGTCAAGCATGGCCAATACCTAGATGGGTGACCGCTTGGGGATACCAGGTGCTGTAAGCTTGGATGCACGGATGGTGTAATGGATATTGATTCGTAATTGCTAATCAGAGAACCAAGTTCCAATCCTGGTCAGCTTCTTTATATTGTTGTATCTTCTCTCTTGTCTTCTCTTAGCTGGGGTCACAAAATGTTTTGTGTCCAAAGATTAAAGTTCAACATGGAGAACTTTAACTATTTTTATTGACATTCATGTCGACATGCAATGTCCAGTCGGGTAGGCGCCATCACTGGGGAGCCATTTCAAGACACAAAAGAGAACACGTCTGCCTAGCTTGATGGTCAAGAAACAACTCTCTGAAAAACCTTTCAATCAAATTAGACTTCCTTATTTTGGCTTTCATCTTCGTAAGTCAACGTCTGATGTTGTGGTTGATTCCATCAGGGAATCCATCTGCCCTGGACTTTAACCACAGTCTAGGAAACGCTTTGCCCAGCAATGCCATGGCAGTATCACACTTTAAACAACTGCCAATGTCCTTCAGTTTTTATGTTTGCGTCGGACATGAGATTGAGGCAGTTGATTCCATCAGGGTATCCATGCGCGTTGACCATTGACTTCAGTCTAGGAAAGCCTCTGCCCAGCAATGCTGAGTCAGTATCACACTGGCTGCTCGAATATGTCTATGGGGCCCAGTCTACTTCATTGTGTTAGATGACGACCATTGAGCCTATAAGAAGATATCACAGTCCCTCCTTCTGCAGGTTAAACAACAGCCGATGTTTTTAGGTTTGCATCTGACTCATTGTGTCAGATGACCATTGATGCCCTACATGAAGGTTCATCCATCCTTTGAGAGGTCTTGATTTTAAACCCACTTGCTGCTTAACCACCTTCCTCATCAGAAAAGCCTGTTAGGGGAACTGGTTTAGTCAGTGATTATATGGTACTAGTAGGGATTGTTGACATACAATCTACTGTCACACATTAATTTGTTTCTCACTGATCTTTTAATGGTTTTTTATTCTGAACACCAAATGGTGATGAAAGCAACTAGAAACTATTTCTCAAGAAGATATGATAATATTAACCATTCCCTTATGTGGAAACATTCATTGTAACTCAAGTAGCATTGGTTACTTGAGTTACAATAAATGTTATGCTTTTCTTCACTCCATGGACATTGGGCTTGAATCAAAGTGTAGTATCTTTTCTCCTCATCTCTAATGGTAATATTAGCCGTTCCCTTATAAGGAAACATTTGACATTCATTGCCCAAGCAGCCAATGCTACATGAGATGCTTTTCTTCACTCTATGGACATCAGGCTGGGATCAAAGTGTAGTATCTGTTCTCCTCATCTCTAATGGTAATATTAGCCGTTCCCTCATAAGGAATCATTCAGCATTCATTGACCGAGCAGCCAATTCTACTTGAGTTATGCTTTTCTTCACTCACTGGACATCGAGCTGGGATCAAAATGTAGTATCTTTTCTCCTCATCTCTAATGGCAATGGTAATAATAACCATTAACTCATAAGGAAATATCCGGTATTCATTGACCGAGCAGCCAATGCTACTTGAGTTACGCTTTTCTTCACTCCATGGACATCGGGATGGGATCAAAGTGTAGTATATGTTCTCATATTGTAAGTGTAAGCGTTCTGAAAGCAAACAAAGTATTTGTCACAGATTACTTCCACAACACGAAGAAAAATCACCGTAAGTACAGACTCGAATATCGGGGGCAGAAAGAAATGCTGAAAACTTGATTCGCTGGCACTATCTCGAATCACAATGCGTGTAACCAGTCAGGAGAATAACTCACTCTCTAACAAACGCCGAAGCCAAAAATGCCCAAATTTCCCTTCTCCGAATCGAGAACACCAACTGCTTTTATTGGCAGAACCTATTTTTTTCATTCATCGACAGCTGGGATAGGATGCTCCGTAATTTGCATATCAAAATACTCTTATAGCGACTCCTGCGACGGACTTTTTTCGTCACAGAATACACGCGACGCGCTGTCGCTTGGTTTGACGAGGTAAGTCGCCGTTTTCTTTGCTATAAGATTTTTGCTGACTACTTTTTGGTAATCCTTCTTCGGCAGATCGCACTCAAAACACAAACTTTTTTCCGGGGTACCTGATTATCTCTTTCACTACACATATCTAATGAGCAAACTAACTGAACTGAAAGTAAAAAGAACAAAGAGAAATATAAAGCAAGAGAAAGATAGAGAAAAAGAGAAAACCTTATTTTATTTCAGATGAACGACTGAAGCTTAAGTGGGTTTTGACTTTCAATCTCAAAAATATTACACATACATAATTCCACGCATTCTCTTGCATTAATGTTTTCATGTATTATCTAATTATAATTAAATCTTGTTAATTTGTATTTTGGCGTTTGCTGTTTGTTACTGTTGATTGTTGTTTCGAATTTGGGTATTTGACCTTTGTGGAGGATCTGTCCCCTATGGAGGGGTAACCCTGGCATCTTCTAGATAGCAAGTTGTTTTTTTGTTTATCTTTTCTTTTTAAATTTTATGCTGCAGTAATTGTCTGTGACTATATCATATAGAACATAAATGAATGGAATTGTCTGTTTATGTAAATAAGCAGAGTTAGCATTTGGTTAATTGCTAAGTGTACCTTCGTGTAGTAAACCTTCTATTTCATTACTTACCTACAAGTTTGTCTTCCTTATTTATTTCTCTCTGTTATCTCAAAAACACAAGATACAACATGTTGTGTGTGTGTCTCTCTCTCTCTCTCTATATATATATATATATATATATATATATATATATAGGAGGAGGCACGATGGAGTAATGGATAGCGGCTTGGATTGAGGAATTGCAGAGCCAAGTTCGAATTCCAGTCGAACCCATTACATTCACTTACGTGCTAATACCCTCCAGCTATGGGTAAAATAGCAGGACAGACTGGATTCTATAGCCTTGGATGGCAACTGATCTAGAAGGGCAACTCTGAATTCAAAAGCTGCGGAGGGTCGTTTGGGAACCTTGTGGCATTCGGTGCACCAGGTCTCTGTATTCGTCCCTTCAAAAAGTGTGGATGGTCCTGCACAAGGCCTTCACCACTATAATCAAATCTCATGTGCCGGCGTCGGGCTGTCAGTTTCCTGGAAACTGATCTGCTTGACCCTCATACGTCGAATCTCGATGGGAGAGTCGATTATTTATTTATTTATTTATTTATATATATATATATATATATATATATATACACACACATATATATATATAATATATATAAAGTACAGTGTGTGTGTTTGTGCATGTGTGTGTCCAAGCAACTCCTTCACTCCCACTCGTCCGATTTCAATGATTCGTAGCTCATCCAAAAGCCCTAGAAAAGTTAGGTGCAAGGAACGATTTTCGTTGAGCTCAGATTCAGAGTTGCCAGATATGCGTGGTTAAATATATATATTAATACATTATTCTAGCCATTATCGTTGCTTTCATGGTTCAAGGGGAGTAACTCTTATTTTCCTTTTGTATCCAAAACTGCAGCTAGCTTAGAATCTGACCTATCGGGCGGCATTTAAGCTCGCTCCTGTGGAGGACTCTTGGTTTGGCCATAATCACAATAGCTAGGGAGGAGTAGATGCGATAGGCATCAATAAACGACAGAAGAACTCAAAATTGGTTGCTGCGTTTAAGTATTGAATTAATGTTTAAGTTTACCTTTTAAAAGTTTAACAATAATTCTTCTACTGCCACTTAATTAGATCCTTATTTTCCATATGAACAATTATTTTTATTTCATGGGTGACAGAACGGGACAATTTATAAGATAAAAGTAATATAGTGTAAAAGTGAGAAATTAGAATTAGTTATACATTCAAAATTTGAAGAGTTAGAGAAACATAATAGCTAAGTAAGTAAAACTGATATTATGGAATCTATATGAATAATAGCGAAATTAGAGCTCAATTTTCCCATGAATTCTGAGATTAAAAAGCCTCAGCTCTACTTTATAGTAATTTGGTATTTACAGAGCTGCCCCTGAACACACTCTACCCAAAGACAGAAACACAACTGAGAGATGATAAATAGATGTTACAAATTACTTGATAGCAGTTTGCACACTAAAAGTTCAATATCTGTATTATATATTATCTAGTTCTAGGCAATATCACTCTTCAGTTTTAACTAATTTGCATATTGTTTTAAAAAAGTTTACTTCATTAATTAACTGTTCTTCATTACTATTCTTCTATTTGAGGATTGTTTTGATTTCCATATCAAAAATAGTTCTGTTTAGGAATATCGTCTTATATAATGCAGAAAAGTGTTTGAAATTTGTATTTTACTTAGCCTTCAACAAGTTGGCATCTATTTGAAAAAACTTTCCTTAACTATAATAAGCCAATTTATCAATGAAATGTTCATTTAAAATTTTTGTTTCAACTAGTGAATATATCTTACTGTGCTAAGTGATAGTGAGCAAGCGAAGCCTGCTAGTATATATATGAGATCTTCCTGAAAAATAACAGAACTGATCATGTTCTTTAATGTGAGAGGCATCATCCGAAGAGTGTTCTTGCCACAGAGCCAAATGGTCAATCAGTGTGTCTACAAAGAGATCCTGCGGCATTTGCCTTGCTCAGTGTGCGCCTGCTCACAACGTTCTGAGCATTTGACAATTCCTGGCTAAGAATAACATCACCATACTGGAACAATCTCCCTATTCAACTGATCTTGCTCCATGTGACTTTTTTCTTTTCTCCAAGCTTAAAGGGACCTGTTTTGAAGGTGTGGGGGCCATCAAGAGGCCCATAACAACAGACCTGAGGGGCATCCAAGAAGAATCCTTTTAGCAGTGCATAGAATCGTGGCAGAGAAGGATGGAAAAGTGCATTAGACTCGAGGGTGGGGGTTATTTTGAAGAGGAAACCTTGTAATTTGTTGTTTTGAATTGAAATAAATTGTTTATGACACCAGTACCAATAGTTTTCAGACAGACCTCATATATGTAAGACTAGGATGGTATCTCCAGCCTTGAATGGCAAATCTTTCTAGAGATATCTCAATAAAAACACTCTTTGTACTTGGGCTATATGAGTGCCGCCAGAAAGAACATCCAGTCTTGTAAAACCTTACCTCAAATCATTAGGACAAATCCTCTGTCTGCAAGATTGGTCTCAGTCCGTCCTCAACAAAGAAAACACAGCTATAAATATATGTGTGCATTTATATATCATGTTTTTATTGTTCGTCTGCAGTTTTGTTTTTATGTTCTTCCAAAGTTTTCAAAGATTTCTAGCTGGAGCTGTTTGTTCTTTGTCAGCGCCAGAATATACACACTTGTTTTATGATTTTCTTTCTCTTTCTAGAACCTTTAATCGAATACCTTCCATACTGGCAGAAAGTCTACTTCTATCTTTGGTCCACTTGAAGACTGCTGCTTCAACAACCTACAAACCTACAGCAGGATTTTGAATTTGAGTCCAGTCTACTGATAATTTTCATGCAATCCTGGAATTTCATTGTATTTTTTTTCATTTTTTTTCCATGAATTTCGATTAATCCATAATTTCTGATTTTTTCTGTGAATCATATTTTATTACGACCTCCGAACTATAACAGTTGGTTCATTTTGTATACGAGATGTGTATGCAAATGGAACAATCAAAGTAGCCATTCTTCTATATTATTCTACCCCTGTCCCATAATGATTGTTCCATTTAAAAATAAGAAATGTGTAAGCAAATGGAACAATCCTTATGGGACAGAGAGTGTCAAATGTTTCCTCTCTTTTTTCAATTTAATCTAATTATTAAAGTAGCCATATTTCTATATTATTCTTCCTCTGTCCCATAATGATTGTTCCATTTGGAATAAGAAATGTGTAAGCAAATGTAACAATCCTTATGGGACAGAGAGTGTCAAATGTTTCCTCTCTTCTTTCAATTTAATCTGATTATTAAAGTAGCCATTCTTCTATATTATTCAACCTCTGTCCCATAATGATTGTTCCATTTAGTCTATGAAATGTGTATTCAAATGGAACAATCATTTTGGAACGGAGAGTGCCAAATGTTTCCTCTCTTCTTTCAATTTAATCTGATTATTAAAGTAGCCATTCTTCTATATTATTCTACCTCTGTCCCA